ATATAAACCATACGTCTCCAATCCCGGAGTCCCCGGCAGGAAGTGGTTAAGTGCATTTTCAAATCCTGGTTCGTGGGTTCACATTTGAAAGTTATACAGGGCAAAGAACATTGGGTATTGGTAAAAAACCTGAAAATATGGTAAAAACTTTTAAATCCTACGGAATAACAGGCTATGAAAAGTGCAACAGCACAATTTGTTTCCAATAAAATTGTCACCATGCTTTTCACTTATTTCTGCCTAAACTAGTTTTTTTAAAGCATGTTTTTTGGTAATTTTTTTATGTTAGCTTGGAGCCACGGTTACAGGAGAGCATACAGCAGCTGAGCACGCTTCTTAGTGAAGTCAAGGGAGCAGGGAATGTTGCCCTGAGCCAGCCCAGCCAGAAGGCCAATGTCCAGGCTGAAGCTGATAATGTCCTCAGACCACTGATGGATGTCCTCTATAGCAAGTGAGTGTCAGGTTCCAGCAAGGGAGGACATGGGATTCTTATGCAAAGCATCTTGTCCAAATCATGGGGAAATACCTGGACAAGTTCTGACAAAAAGCCAGAGTTGTGGGCTGAAGCTAGTTACATGTACACTGTTCGTCCTCAGAACCCCAGTGGATGTCCTCTGTGTTGTTAGCATCAGGTTGGAGCAAGGTTGGATGTGGAATTTTCTGCTATCACAACCATGAAGATCACCATCAAGTTTGAAACTGACAAAGTCCTCAGACAATGCAGTCCCGGATTTCCTCCACAGCGAGTACACATCTTTAGATAGGGGTTGAAACATTTGATAAATTCAAAATGGTCCTAGTAAAACTTGGTAGCGTTTACTGCTGCCTTCCTGGAGCATCGTTTTTGGTTGTTAAACTGTTTTGTTCAACTTTGTTTTTCCACCCAGCCTGACGGAGTTGGCCCAGAATTGTGAGAAGGCAGTCCTCAAGCGTCTACTGAAGGAGATGTGGCGTATCGTGGTCAGCACCGTGGAGAAAGTCGTGGTCCTGCCACCGATGAATGACGCCTCGGTGAGTCACTGAACGATTTTGTTTTGTGAAGAGGTCAAAGGTCAGGCAGGAATTATTATCTAGCAACTGAAACCGTGCTTCCTTGGGACTATAATATAAATATCTCTTCCACGTATGAAGCTGTTTCACAGATCAGCCAATTTCCTTACTTTTGGCTTTTCATATAATTATATTACACGTTAAAAAAGGATCCATGAAAGTCTTACACATTTTTGAACTTTCTCATTTTTTCTAAATTCTCAGCATGTCTATGTAGTGCACTTCTCCAGAAAAAAATGCAAACCCAAATTCTCTAAGAAATGACCAAAGGGCCAATATCATTTTATTTGATAGTCCACCTCCAGAGAATTTTTTTCTGAAATCTGAAAGCATAAACCTTCAGTTTATAACAGAAACTAAGGTTAGGTACATTTTTTCCATTTGCTGAAAGCCAGCCAACTGTACGTAATCGTATGATGTTACAATCATGAAAGGCATACTCCAGACGTCATTAAAACATGTATTAGCGTTATTTTATTAAAAATGGAGAACGTATGGTGATATTATATAAGGCAAGTCTGCTCCTGAGTTGGCAGTGAGTGCAGTAAAATACCTTGCTTGTAGACACCAGTGTTGTAGTCAAGACCATCACAAGACCTGACACATGACCATACACAAGACCATTTACAAGACCATGGACAAGACAAGTCACAAGTAACAGTGTAAACAGTGACAAAGGGATGCTTTTGTTGCAGTCCATTTGAATAGCTTGTGGCTTTAATTCAGACAGTTCAGTCTGGAGATCTTGTGTTGGTCTTGTGCTGGTCTTGTGTGGTCTTTCGAATGTCTTAAGTGGTCTCGACTTCAACACTGGTAGACACAGACATCACATACTGCACCTCAAAAAGTTACAAAGTAGCATATTTGGTTCAGAAAACTATATTAAAACAGGCGTCAACATCAGTAGGAAACATTAGTGTACCATATTTCAAGCATTACACGTAGACCTATGAAATTTGAATTGCATCCATTTGCTTTTTGACATTTCATAATTTGTTCATTGTCTCATTTTTCCGTCATTTCTTTTTGTCCTTTTAATTTTTCTCTTGTCCTCTGTCTTTCAACGTTTTTTTCTCCTTTAAAAAACTGAAACCTGTCTGCATGTTGCACTCTGGTCTTTATCCGTTGGGCACAGATGAGCTCAATTTTAGCCACGCTGAACCCGGCGCTAGCCAAACTACAACAAGTCCATGGTGCTACAAAGGTAACATGTCGCCAGCATGGCCCCTCGTCCTTATGTGTGGCATTTGGTGTTAGTAGCTTGCTTGAAACCCAGACTTCTTGCAGTGGCCTTGATGATCGGCTTGCCTGTTCTGAGCCTTAGTCTGGAGCCCCAAGTTGCGTGCCTGAAAGCCTGACTCCTCTGTGTGGTTCTTATCCTAAGCCCTTCTTTGTCAGTGTGGAGTTGCACAACCTCGACTCCATGGGTGTAGACTAGGAAAATGATGCTGAGTGGCTACTTAGGATGAATGTACATAAATGTTAAGTGAATCACACCCATATTTTAAAAGCTACATGCTCTCACCCATGGATTCCACTGCACGTCATGCAAGCATAAATCTGTGTCAAGCTTAAACAACTACAGTCCTAATTTAAATCTCCCAATAGTGGGATATTTCAATCTTACGGTACCAGGGGTTAAGATTGTGCAAGGTGTGGTGGGAACCAACATGGCGCAGTGAGACATTACCCATTGGAACGAGGTTGGGAGTTGCATGACTCCTCTGATAGTCTGTTCCCCAGTGGCTCATAAGACTGCAATGTTTGGGTGTGTGTGTGTGTGCTGCATCCTGACTTCCTTGCTTTACATACATGTTTCTTGCTTCTTGACTTCTTTGCTGTGTGCCTTGTACATGTATCCTGACTTCATTCTGTGGATAACTTGATCCCTCTGGTTGAGTGCATCCCACTGTGGCACATACGTAGTGCTTTGTTTAGTTGTAGTGTGTTTATCTACTCTAGAACCCCGTTTCCATCATTATAGATGGCAAATGGTCTAAGACATTGTCCTAAACAGGCTTGTAGCACGACTTTACCTGTTCGGCCAGGTCTACTTTCAATGGAGCAGAGATCTAGACCTACATGTAGCTCTCAACAACAGCCCCTGGGGATTTGATACTGTATATTTTGGTTGTCATAAAATAGTCATTGAGTTTTCAAAGACAAAATCCAATCATGTTATTAGTGAAGACCAGTTCATACATCACACAGATGTCAATGCGAACCAAATTTGACCTGTAGTTGCCATAGAACCACAAATTTGCATTCACATTTATTTTTGTGCTTGGAGTAAACTGGCCTTCAAACTTCAAACAGTCAAACTTAATCAAACTACTTTGGTACTCCAAGTGTCCTTGAGAACTGTATGTTTGTTCATTACCCCTGATGTATTATATTTTTGTGTGATGTTGTAGCTAGTAGTCATTGTGAAGATGACAAATTTGTCAGTGTGGCGTGGAGTCATTCCAACATCCTTCTCAGATGTTGCTGACAGGATGTACTTGATTTGGAGCTAGCGGGACACTGTCTATTCCAAACCAGTGGCCCTGTAAGACACACCATGAGAATTTCCCGAATTGCACTTTGTAAAACCTGTATGATAGAGCCAGCTACCTATATGACTCCAGAATATTTTAGCCATGATTGCAAGACGTTGCTTTGTCATCAAGTCAGGTGTTGCCAAATTCTCATTTTCAAGGAACCAATCAGCATGAGTTCTTTGGTGGTTACCCCTTTCTTCCTAAGTAGATGTTAAATTTCCTTTCTGGGCAAATTTCCAAACTAACAAGTAACACAATGAACTATGCCCGTTCCTCTGTTATCCCTTATACACAGCTGTGTCCACATGCCCCCCCATGCCACATCACACTACGCACCCTCCCCTCCATCCGCTGGAGCCCGGTGCAGTTATCAAGTGCATGAGTGAATCTCATTTGATGTACATGTACATTTTCCTTTGTTGAAAAATATGTCGTTCCCTGTTAAGTTTGATGGGTATCCCTAATAGTTTTTTTCTGATCCACTGTAGTCAAATTGAAGAGTGAGATTTTTCATTGTCCCTTTTTCCCCGACAGGAGGGGAGCAGGGAGGAGAATAAGAACCTGACACCCAAGCAGTGTGCCGTCCTGGACATGGCACTTGATCAAATCAAGGTAAATGTCACGGGGGGAAGTGAGCCGATTGAGAGAAAAGAAGTCCAGAAACTAGGAAGGAAACATCAGCTTGAGTGATTAGAACAGAAACCTTGCACACAGGGGAAGTCTGAGTAAAACCTGCGCAAGCTGGCTTGGCACCAAAAACATAGTGGCCAGTGTTAGCGTTGGTTGGAACCGAACCAAGGTCAACAGGAAGGTGAGGAAAGTAGTACTACTGCCCTGAAGCACATGGGACGTCATGTCCCCCATCTAGTGCCCGATGGAAAAAAAAGGGCTACTAGAGCTGTGAACTCTCACTCAAAACTATTCACAATTTCTGACACAGTCCTTTTGAAGAGGAGGTATAACCTTTTTACCAAGGAGTGACAAATTGCAAATGTTTCGAAACCAACGATTATTTACTTTGAGTCCAGTTTCACGATACAACTTTTGACTGACAGGATTTTTGGAGCTGGGAAGTTTTTAAGTAATTCAACATTAAAATGTTATTCCTTCATTTTTTTTTCTTATTAAAGTTAAAGTTCTTTTGATGTTCAACTGACATGAAAAGAGGTATCCAGTTTTAGTAGGACCTGGTGATAAGGAACCCCTACATTGTACAGAGTTAAGATGCCAACCAGAAAACAAATGTTTCATTTGAGGAATGGTCACGTTTTCACAAGTGTAATCAAACCCTAAAAATTAATTTAAATTTTCTCACACTAGCAATATTTCCATGCCTCTGGCAACGGTCTGAAGAAGGCGTTCCTGGAGAAGAGTGGAGAGCTGCAGTCGCTGCGTTACGCGCTCTCCCTCTACACGCAGACCACCGACATGCTTATCAAGACCTTCGTCCAGAGCCAGACATCACAAGGTGAGTCTTGAGGAAGCAATGTTCCACCAAATCATGAGATTTGGAAACAAATTCATTTCAAAGTCAGGTTTTTGAAAATGTTGCATCAGACATTCCTGAAGTACTTTGAGTTTGAAAACTAGGCTCTTAATTTTGTAATTTTATGCGGCTCTAAATTCTGGGTAATGTTTAAAAAAGTATGGATACCCCAAAGCAGCGTTTAACACCATTGAACATGCTAAACACTCTATGGTATTATTACATGTAGTTGATCAGATGTTTGTGATGTTCTTATCTGGAAGGAAAACATCCTCTTGTGCCTGTTAAATTTTGTGCCCATGTCTGTTTACACAACTCACAATGCAACAGTGGACTGAATCACACTTTGCTGCCCAGCAGCAGAGGAATTATAATGATAGCCAAATTGAGAAGTTGAGGCTCCAGCCTCAACTTCAGATTAAAGAAAAATTTGTATAGGGAAGAGGCTGTGGCCAGCCACATCCAACAACACCCTGGACACAGACTGACTTCTTGATTAACCTCCCTGATTGACTTTCCCAGTTGACTCAAAGTGCAAGGCCTATGAAACATCACCCAAGACTGATTATGTCACCAACTAAATCGTCATAAAAGTGACAATACGACCCTAAAACAATGCATTATGGTGCCTGTCACAATTTGCTCCCTAGATTGTTGTGCATCTGAAAGAAAGGTATTTGGGCAAATGATTGTGCTCTCAATGCAACAGATGGCTTAAATGATGCCTTTCTGTCACTCTCAGTCCTTTCTGGGGAAAGCCCACTTCTTTCTCTGTTAATACAAATTGACTAGTGTTTTTTTTATTTGTCCTTTCAGATCAGCAAAGTGCAACCAAATCTGTGGGTGAGGTATCCATTCAGGTTGATCTGTTCACGCACCCAGGCACAGGAGAGCATAAAGTCACAGTCAAAGGTAGATGGCTACCTTAAATGCAGTCCCTCTAGTCACAGTGAAGGGCTGTTAAAGTGTTCCCCCACAACGCCAACCCTAACCTGACTCCATGCCCCTAAATATTCACTTACTTTTATTTTGTCTGTGAACAACATTCCCAAATTGCTCGAGATGGAGAGATCAGGCCATTTAAAGTTTTTACTTACATTCATGGTGAATGAAACAGTTACTGAAGCATGCTGTTCATCTTCAACTACTGTTTATTTACTGAAAAGGCTGGGCTCTGGGGGATGGGGGGGGGGCATTCTCATACCTTGTTTGACTCCAACCCAAGATTACCCTTCTGTCATTGTTCACATGGAGATTATTCTAGCTTGATGTCTTGGATTCTTGGAACTGAAATTTACATGTTGTAGCAGTGTTAAAAATGTGATTTGGTTCCATCTTTAGACTCGGGGCTCCAGCAAAATTTGTTGATTATAACAAATTGGGTTTGGCAAAATCCTGTCCTTTCGGTCGTGCAGTTGATTTTCGCTTTTTTTCAGTTGTGTGTTTACTTTTTTTTTTTAGAGTTTTTTGGAATTTGTATGTTGCATCTTTGAATCTAAAGGAGTCTGGTGCCACTATTAGTTAACTGGGATCAGCTGTATGTAATTTCTAATGTTCTTTCTCGTGTCCAAATACTGCAGACATGGGTGTTGAGAAATTTTACTGCCATTGTCAAATGCAAATTCTTGTTGCTGTGTTTCAGTTGTTGCCGCCAATGATCTGAAATGGCAGACTACCAGCATGTTCCGGCCTTTTGTGGAGGTTTACATGATCGGTCCGCATCTGAGCGACAAACGGCGTAAGCACAGCACCAAGTCCAAAGGGAACAACTGGGCTCCCAAATACAACGAGACATTCCAGTTGTGAGTATTTCATTCTCAAAGGGTTGAGTGTGTAATTTAGAGGGGCCAAAAATGATTTAAGATAAAAGTAATGAGTCGTGGGGTTCATTTAAGAGCATTCAGCATTGTGAAATTGTGGTCTTTAGGTATGGTGTTGTTTTGGGTTGGTACAATGATGTTCCAAGATTAATGTTGATATGGCAGTAAATTCATGCTCAGTGCTTGGTTGAAATGCCTGTGAAGGTTATCAGTCGTTCCCCTGTTGGAAGTTTGAGTACAATCCACTCTCCTAGGATTCTCTGCTCTTTTCAACTTAAGGCATAATACCATGCTAGTTACACAAATCACCACCTGCCAGTTTATGATGAATTGACTAATGAGTGACTAAAGTGCATGAATATGTATGAGGGTGGAGTTCATGCATTGTCTGACCTGCTCTATGCAGCATTCTGGGCAATGAGGATGAGCCAGATGCCTATGAGCTCCACATCTGCGTCAAGGACTACTGCTTTGCCCGGGAGGACCGGCTGATCGGCATTGCCGTCATGCAGCTGCGCGACATCGTGGAGTGCGGTAGCTGCGCCTGCTGGTGCGCCCTGGGCCGTTGGTTGCACATGGACGACACGGGCGGCACCATCCTGCGCATCCTGTCGCAGCGCACCAACGATGAGGTGGCCCGGGAGTTTGTGCGGCTCAAGTCGGAGCGGCGGTCGGAAGGTGGAGATGGGTGATAATCCGGAGTGGGGGGGGACATCAGTTCAAACAGTGAACCCTCAAGCTGCCCTCACGTCAGTTACCGAGCAAAAAAAAAGTGCCTCCATCGCAAACACAATAAATAAATAAACCTCCATATAGAACCTCTCCGAGGGAGAATTGTGTGTTTTAACAGTTGGAGCTCTTCAGGGATTTCAGCAAGAAGAATGTGATACCAGAAGAGTTCAAGCCAAAGACGCAGCTGCCACTAGTTAGAAAGCTAGAATGGTAACCGTCTGAAAGGGACCAGGTATGTCTGTTGTACAGAACAGTACAGTTCAGTAAATTTGAAGCTTTCAAGGAAGGTGTTATAAGTATAAACTAAGTCAATTTTGGTGGGGCTTTCTCGTCAACATTTACCAGTGTTAACTTTCCAAGATTTATGAGACATTTGTCACCCTTTTTATCCTCTGAACAAGTTTCCTGCCCTTAAAAATTGCTTTTTCAGTATCGGCGACTCCTTAGTGTGGTTGTCAAAGTGTTACTTTTCATCAAATAATTTTTTACGTGTCTGAAGAAAGGAGTTCTCTTTCTAAACACCATCACATAAAGCTATAATGCCACAGGCAGACCACACGTGCATCACTGTGTGAAGTTTAACAAAAGTAAATAACTGCATCTTATGAAGTGCTGCCTTGCTGAACATGTCTTCATTTCTCATTGCTTCATTTGCTTCTTTACCCAGAGCTTGTCAGTTTTGTTTCAATCAGTGTAAAGCCTGTTTCCTATTTACCATAGCTGTGTGGAAATCTAAGTTCAGTATGTCGCAAAATCAACAGAACTTTTTTGAAACAGATAGCAGTGTCGATTTTGATACATCCAGATAGGGTAATAACAAATTTGCCTTCTTTCAGAGCTGAAGATAGGACTTGGACAAGTACATGAAAATGTTCTTCCCGTGGTTTTAGGGCAGTCCAGTTGACCAGATTTATGGTGTTCATTCTCAAAACGAAGTTGAACATTGGTAACCAGTTAGTTTTGGGCATAGTGAGTAGTAGCGTTCTTGCTGATACAGTTGACAGCAAATGGGTTCACCACCCAAGAACTCTGTGGGGTCTTCAGATGGTTTATTTTTTTGCCCACATCCCAAACACTGTCTCTTCTGTGTTTCGTTTGAGTGATGACATTAATGTCTTAAGCATGCTGCTCCAAATTCACTGAACACTTGCTGTTTCAAAGTTGTACCTGACCAGAAACCACTGGGAAGACTTTGTGTGTGTGTCCTTTCAATAAGGGAACTCATCGGCAGTCGCATTTTTGGTTTTCCCTTTTGTCTTTTCCTCTCTCAAATTTTCCAGTTACAAATTTAATTCCACTTAATTTTGTCAGATCACTTTCATCTGCTTTGTACATATAAATATATATCACGTGATAAATTGTGAGATTTTGTACCATTATCATAAAACATTCCGAAGAGAATGCCATTCATGCGATACAGCTCATTGCTTGTTCCTCTTAATTTAAGAAAAATCTTTAGGCCTATTTCTGGTGGTGCAATTTCAATCAAAAAATGCAGCAACATTGATTTCTTTGCTGTATTTAGTGAACTCTTGCTTTGAAGAAAGTACATGAAAATCAGTGATCTTCATTTGAAGTCGGAAAACATTTCCACGTCTGTCTTTTTTTTCCTCTGTAGTTTAGTCGTTCGGTGTAAATGAAAGAATTATATATCAGAATATATTATGAATATTCCTATTCCTTTCTATGACTTGTCACAGCACCTGCTGTCTTGTATATCTGTGCCGTTGCATGAGTGTAATTTCTCTACAGCACTTCAGCAAATTATGAGTAGTGTATGATAACTGTGAGGAAACGAGACCTTCACTGTGTACAAACATCAACTTTTCTTGACTTGCGACCCGAGTAATGCGCGTGAACACATGGTGTTACTACCAAGTGCAATTTGATAACTATTAACATTCAACTCTTATGGTGCACCTTAAAAACTATTTGGAAAGAAATTATAAATAAACAGGTTTTGGTAATTGTTTTAAACATTTATCCATGTAGCTGTAGAACGTTTATCAAGAATGGTAATCTTGTTTATATTGGGTAAGTACGGTACTAATTTTAAAAAAACTAAAATACTAAACATTGTTAAATTTGACAAGTGCAAAATTCCAAAAAAATCGAATTTTTATAAACAGAACTTGATTTGCAGTTGATAAAACAAACTTTTGATAATGATTCAACTTACAACTATCTCCGTTAAATTCAAGTCTAGAATTTTCGACTTATGCGTTAACTATTCTCAAGTAGACCTAGGATCTTTTCTAATATCTATAATGTATGATTCCGTTGTGGATGAAGCAGTTCCCACAGAAATTTGTGTCGTAATGTTTTATACTTGAACCTATACTGACCAATCTGCTTGTTTTATCTCAGAAAATTCAACTTTATAAAGAACACATCAATTTTTAAATCGCCCAAATTGTCGTCATTTTTGTCACTACCTCTTATCATTTAAGGAAACCTACCCTAAACTTAACTTTTTCTCCTCTGTAATGTATTTATGATATTGAATACACCACACGGTTTGTGTATCTCGTTTCTCATTGTTGTTAACATGTGTCCTTGGGTCTTCACAGACTCGAGATGAACGGTGAAATTCTGATGAAGTTATGTTCACATATCACAGTACGTACTGAACAGATATTGGCAGGAAACCAGTTTTGAGCGGTACACACAACTTACGACAGTGTACGTATGTGCTTCTACAAGCGCCCAACGTGCGTGCATGGTACACGGGGACCTGTTATTGGTTGGCACGTACCGTGATGTAATTGTTTCTTGGTTGCCTGATTGGCCTGAATTACGAGTAAGCCCAAGCACTTGTTACATGTGCAGATAAACCCATTATCACCGGCCGAGAGGTCCGAAGACCATAATGACGCCCATTCGACATATTTTTACACCAATGGTCAGATTAACACGGTACACTGGATTCACTAGGTCTGACTTCTCAACCATTAGGCCTACGCAAATATTTTGAATTCCCAGAGACTCAAATTAGTAGCAATAATTTAAGTGTGCCGTCTCTTTATACATTACAGTATAATTGTGTTTGTCTTCATTTACTGTTTGCTTAAGTTTGATCATTCTTTAACCACTCTGATCAAATTTCTCTCGAGTCTACCATTCCATAGTTCCCTTCATGATAGTAGAATTGGTACACAGCTTTAGGCCACACACTGCATTTCATACTCCGTTAAGGAGCCTATGCACGAACTGCATGCAACAGTAGTGTAGGTATATACCATTTAATTCGCTTCGTTATATTTTGATTTATGAGAAGGGAGGGTGAATCGCTAACGAAAAAAAAGATGTGGAAGAGATGTGTAATATATGCAAAAGAAATAGTGGATTGTAAAGTGTACGATAGTGTGAAGGCAATGTAAAGGCAGAAACAGATGTGATATATTGTAAATTTCTTTCTTTATATTTTATCAGGCCATTTGGTCTTTTGTTTCCTCTTACAACAATCCGTACAAGTTTTACGAAAATGTCTTCAACCAAAATAGCTGCCAGTCTTTGGCGATATGTAAGGCAAATATTCGCGAGATAGATAGGGTAGCGGACACTTCTACCATTCTATTCAGAGGTCCATATCTCTTTCAGACAGTTCTTGAAAGTTTATGTGAAATGAAAGCTCCGTGAAAGTCCACCTGTCTGTATTTTCCATTTGAGACCAAAATACTACCCTTGATACGCTGTTCATTCTTTTGTATCACGTTATTTTAGCACAATGTTTTATAAACGATACCATTTTGTAGAGCCCGTAACTACGTCGTAACTTGAAGCTATTGGCTGTATATCCTTTGTAAAGTGTAGTTAAGACACTGGAAGGTGCTAAACTATTTTTTACTAGAGTTATGTCAGTCGGGTGTCTAGTAGGACATTACCGTTAACAGTGTATCAGCAGAAACGTCACCCAGTGGGAGACTTTGAGACAAAGTGGCGACAAACACGCCTGTCCTTTTTAATAGTCATGAGCATGCACGCGTTGTTTTGAGCATGCGTGCATAGTTCTGACCACGCGCAATACCTTGAAAAAGGACCGGTATGTCTGCTGCCACCAGCGTCTCAAAGTCTCCCATTCACCTTCGATGAGAAATTGTCATTAGTTATCATAGCCGGTTGTTTTAATGTCGGGGTTCAAAGGAATATGATAATCGGCACGGCTCATCAGTTTTTGCGAACATCTGCGATTTAGTTTAATCTGTGAATAACAAAAGCATGTTGGTGGACTTTTTGAGACGCACATTCTAATGTTTAAGTAAATCGTAGAGAAACAGGACAAAAAGTTTTCATTTTCAGGGGGTTTCGTGTTTACTTTAATATATGGATTGGGGAAAAATTCCTAAACGTTTACCAAATGCACGCTTTACTTTAAAAGAGAAAACAGTTTAATTGGAGTTTTGTTCTCGTCTATCGCTTTGTTTTGCCTGTGAAAAGATTAAAAGTTTAAATATATTTATCGGTTAAGAGAAATTAATTTTGCGCTTTTCACTTCCGTATTACTAGTGAAGAGATAATATGCTTTACGATCATGTGTGCCCTCTGTCATTTTGTTTTCAAGAAGTGGCAGCTATTGACGTTGAAGCTGGAATCGACGAATTGGAAACAATTCCACTTCAAATCATTGTTTTGTAGCACATGGCACTGAAGGCTTGAACGCGATGGTTCTGTTGATCGACACCGGTCTTTCAAAGCTCCCTCGTTTATCCTCAATAATGACCGCACTGCATGTTCGTGTATTTGTAACATGATACATGTTTGATCAGTGACCTGTACACGGAATGTACCCAAGATTATAATTGAGACCGTTGTGTAAAGTTTGTCACATCTCGACGTTGCACTGGTGAGTGTTTACAAAATCAATGTCCATGATGCAGTACTGTATGAATACCAACTCGCCAACAAAAAAAAATGTAATTTTTATCCACAGTTTTCTGTTAATTGGAGTAAAGTTGTAAGTCCTCGTAGTTTCTAATCAACCCTTTCAGTCTAGCCTCGAGAGGAAAGTTTGGAGGCAAATTATTTCCGTGTGTTTAGATCTTTCACTTTGGACTTCGAGTGAAATCCACGTAGGTCGCTTTGCGGTGTTACGAGTAGAGGGGGCGGGGTTGCATTCAGCAGGATACATGGAGTGTTGTAATATAATATTTTGAAACCTGTGCCAAGCAGTTCCTTGAGAAGTAAAAACTAAAGTTGCTGTGCATTGCACTTTTACAACTAGTGAAATTTTGTAACTGGTATGAACCGCCAGTTCATTATTCCTGTAATGCTTGCTTTAACGGGTTTGGTTTTGCCAAGAGCATTAGTAAACGGGCATAGAGCTCTGTTCCTGGCAGTATTTAGTACCCTTATCGAAACGATGAGAAGCTTGTTATGTTTAAAGTACCGAACGGATTTGGGTTGTTTTAATCCACAGATGATCAATTTATTATCAACCGAATCTGCTCGGGAAAGTGAGTAGATTTCGTGGCCAGGTCGGTGGCATAGTGTCTCCCTAAATATGTTGCGCACTTGCCCCTGTAGTGTTTACAGTGGGTTCACATTTTCCTTGTTCAAAAAAGTTTCTGCTTGTGGTGCAGTACCCACGTACATTGTATATATATGATAAACGATCTCTTCACTCGGTCTTTCTGATATAATAAAGAAAATGTGTTTTTCCCTCACACATCATATCATTTTTTTGAAGTGGATGTGTTAACTGTTTCTGGTGAAACGTTGTACGACGTATTGCCGGATCAGCGGTGTCGGTTTTTGTGGTACTAAATTATTTCGAAGCAATATTCGTCACTTTTAAAACGCGGCCTTGTGTAGGCCGAGCTCCTCTCTGGTATCTAACTGTATAATGACTGGAGTCAATAAAATTCAAGAAGTACAAGAAGTAACTTGCCCACTATTCCTCGATTCTTTTCTTGGTTCTTTATTCTCTTTTCAGAAAAAAAAACCAGAACATCAGTCGAGTTGGTTTGGTGTTTTGAATCACTTCCTTTATCCCTTTTCAGCAGAAGCATCGCCTTAATCGGTTGAAAAGAGCCATGTTGGTGGGAGTGTTCACTAATTGGTAGCAGTGCACATGCATGCATTTCACAGTCGTTCGTGAACCAGCGCAGTGCTGTTCCCCCAAAGGAGCCGTGGCATCCGTTGCTAGGAAATTTGCGCGCTGTTTTGGTCCAGCTCGGGGCTCATATACCCAACAGTAGCTGAACTTACGACAGTTGGCAGGTGTTCTTTGCTGTATAAAATGTGTGCAAACTTCTGAAGTAACAAGAAGTTGACAGTGGATCTGTTTTTAACACTTTCAACAAGATCACTTTTAAAAACTTCTATACCAATTGTATTTCTGTTCTTAGATCTGACATGCATGTTTTTCACATGGATCTTACCGACGCCAAAATAAATTAACATACTGATGGCAGAAAATGGCTGGCAACAGTTCCTTTGTGCACGAAGTAGACTCATGTACATGTGCAGTTCTCCAGTCAACCGAGGAAAGTTCACCGTTCTTCCGACTAATCAGTTGGTTTCTGACTCACTTTCCCTTGCCTAAATCTAAGACATGGCGAAAGTTAAGTCATCTGGATTGGAGCTTTTCTAATTCTGGTCTCCGTGGCCTTCATCCCTGTGCACATTTTTTTGAAAGCCAAAGAAATTATTTAAACACAAGTCTTAAAGCATCATCATTTTTAGCACCTTGCTACTCCCAAATCTGCCGCCGAGTTTGCCGTTAGAGGGACGGGGCTCAACCCCCATCTAGCTTAATGAAATTGCTGTCCTAGCGCCCCCACTTGAAACATCACTGAATTTCTCAAATCCTTCATGCACCCCCACCCGCACAAAATCCGCTTGAATCGCGTGATCAGTCTATTAAGAATAACCTGCGCGAGAATTCGCCCCTATACGGAAGCCCGTTAGGGCCACGTGTCTTTCTCTTTCTAGGCGGTGCGTTTCTCTTTCATTTCACGGCGGCGCGTTTCTCTTGCATTTCACGGCGGTGTGTTTCTCTTTCGTTTTTGCCAGTAACTCGCGGCCGCGGCCGCTACTTTCTTAACTCGCGGCCGCCACTTCTTTATGCACCGTGTCACCGTGATGTCTTTGTTGTAATCAGATTAATTTCCCAAGTGTCTACCAGCTGAGAGCATGGCGCTAGATTAAATGGTTAAATAATTTTTGCTGGTCACTTATGAATATATTTAAAGGTATGCATTTACTAATAGGTCTTTGTCGGGACCGACAACGCCTTACGGTTCATTTTCGCTGTGAATCTAGGAAGCTACTATATTTGCTTTCCATGGTACAAAACAGTACAACATACCACGTGAGTTAAGTAAGTGGCGGCCGCGAGTTATTAAGTGGCGGCCGCGAGTTGATAAGTGGCTACTGCGAGTTAAGTAAGTCACGGCCGCGAGATAATATGTGGCGGCCGCGAGTTACTGCCAACAACGAAAGAGACACGCACCGTGGCCCTGACGGGCTCCCGTACCCCTAAATGTTTCGGTTTTAATGCAAATTGGACACCTGCTCGGCATTTCTGTACGGTAGCCTGGATGCCGTTTTCCACTTTTATTCCTTCATAATGTGCAAAATACCCATTCTGGCATTTCAATATGGCAACTACTTGGTAAATCAACCTAACGTTATTATGCTGGCTTTCCGATCCGGAAGACCGAACCGGATGGTAGGGAGTAGTACGGTCTACACTGAGTTCCCACACTGCGTTGGGCGTCTGTGGGAAATGATGTTGTGAATAATGTTCTATTTTAAGGTCTTTAGTATTTAGACGTCTAAAAGAGACGAAATATGATTAGAATATCAGCAGCTATTGTCGTACAAATGGTATGTCTGTTTGGCTTAGCTGTAGTCATATGTTTAACTTAGTAGCTTACATTCAGGAGTACTTAGTTTATAGTTCGAACCTACCCGCTTAGAGACCCTTCATGGGCTTCTAGCTGCATTGCCACATTTTGCTAACTTTATACTTCAAACCACGGGTGGCCCAAGTGTCTGAAAAGACTCAAAGACTATTCTTTTAACACAATGAGCTTTGTGTGTGTAACTATTAAAACACAGTGCACAACAAAAAGATGTCAAAAGCAGGCAGAATTTACATATTTTGTCAAAACATAGTGTCAAAATGTAGTTGAAATGAACACAAGATGGCTTCCAATATATGTACCAAAGCGTTCGCTATTGATGAACAAAGGGAAGATTTCTAGATGAATGATGTAAAAGGAAGTCCGATATGAAAACACCAAACATCAGAAAAAAAATCTCTGAAAAATACAATCTTACGATTGGCCATTCCTTTCACTTCCTTTTTGGGGGGGGGGGTGTTTGAAGCTTTTTGGTGTTACCTCCACGAGGTCACCAAAACTTGTGCCTAGATCCACCGTGCAAACAACCCTAATTTTAACACATCCACAAGTCCTATAGCCCAATTATGCGCGAATGTATAGACATCATCGTAAAGGCTCACATTGCTAAACCACCGTGGAACACCGACGGGTGGTATGGTATGTACATGTAGGAATCCATTTGCTCATTTTGCCAATGCAGGGTTTGCACAGATTACATGTTTAATTTATTCAACCCTCGATCGTTGTTTTGCCACATTTATATTCGGCATCATTTTGTGTATGAAGTTTTGCGTGTAGTTGCAGGACTTACTGTTTCTCATCACCGGTCCTGAAAACTTACAAGTATGATTTTTCCTTTGACACCGTTTACACGCCCTTTTAAGGCCCTCTTCAAAGCAGTCAATGTGTGCAGCTTTCATCAGCCGTGGTTTTGCAGAGGAAATGACAACATTCTACACTGCCATTGAAATACTGATAACCAGAATCTGGAGACTTTCTGGGTCAAGCTTCCTACTCGAATTCTAATCAGAGATTTTTTACATGGTGTACCTAAGATATTCTATTATCTTCCCGAGGGACGTGGATTCGGCGTTGAAAAAAAAGGATGTCGTGAATAAAGTTCTCTCTTTAAATCCAGACAGTGGCCCCGATGCATTATTTGATATTGCGTTTCAATTTTATGCAAGCATTTTAGAGATCAAGGGTCTGTGTGGTGTAATTTTCAATGAAAATCTTGAAATTGCACCATACTTGTTTCGTCCCATTAAGCCTTAATTTAAACTTATGTTGCTTTTTAAAATTTTTTGATGACTCTCTGTTTTTAATTCAGTGAGCATTTCCAAATTCATCAGCACAAGTGTGACGCCATTTTTGGCGAAAGCTTCACTTTCACAGCTACGTATTGAGCACAAACAGTTGCTTGAATTTGGGATCGGTGCTGTATTATTTTTTCATTTGCTGATTCATCCTTGTGTGCGTGACAGTAATTAAAATATAAGGTACTAAGCCAGTTGGCAAACGCTTAGTTGATTTTCGGTTCACAGGTTAGACAGAAAACCCAAAGCTGGATTGTGTATTCCAGGAATGACATCACGGTATGGCGCCCTCAGTTGACCCGAGAGCTTAACAGACAATTGTAAATGTTTACAGTAAAAATGTGCACTTTTAAATACAGTTAGCCAAGTACGGATGTCAAATAATTTTTGTACATTTAAGAGGAGCAATAACTTGAAAACAGCGTGTATCAAAGAAAAAATTAATCACATCGACGATTTAAGTGATCGACATTTCTACAGCTCGATTTTGTGGTTTTTCTTGACATCAATGCGGGAGCATCCGTGCGTCAAACTTTTTGAGGCATCAACCGGAAAGGCGCCCACGCTCCCCTGAGCAATATCTGAGGAGCTTGCTCACTACACTGTCTACCACACCAGACTGATGGTTGTCGGCGGATTTTATCGTTTATTTATGATATGCGCTGCAACACATAGAAGCATTTCACCAAGATCGTAAGGAAAATGACCAAGTATCAACACGAATCGAAGCATTTGACATCAATGTCGGTGTTTGCATTTCCGAAATAATCGACGTAGATTTCGATTCCTCCCCCTCCCCCAAATATCACGGTGTAATGTAAACATTATTGATAACACCATCACATTCACCTGATCCAGTTCTTAACTTTTACACATTAAAGAAGGATGTCTCCTAGTGCGTATTCAGAAGTGTTGAGAAAAACGAAGAACTATACTCAGTATGTCTGTTTAAAAAGTACATGTATGACCAGGAGTAGTTTATATTCGATAACAATTGTATTCAATCGACAATTTAATTTCACCCTTGTTTACCAAAAATATAAGCATCTGTATTTATACAAATAGGTCAATCATAAGTTACATAATATAACCATACCAGAATTATATTGGTAGTATAACTACTTTTTATAGTTGCCTTGTAGTGATGCATCTGGCTCAGGATTAACCGTTAAATACTGCTGTTTAAAATAACAGATACGCGATTACATGTGTGCATGTATCATGACCGTGACAAGTAACATTTACTGGCGTTTGGAGTTACATGTATATTGTGTAATTTAAAGTACACAACAGTGTCTTTGTTTACGTCTCAGGCTGTTCGGTAAGTATTGTGCTGTATTTTTTAACTGAGTTTTATTCATTGCTCATTCAGTTGTCATGATTGGCTATATAAAAACTAGTACAGTATGTGACATTATAGTTTGCATAATCACCTTGCATGCATATATCTTGACCAATAATATAATATTCAGTTGTTGACTTTCTTTGCAGGTTTTTGGGCAGGACAACTTTATAATGAAACAATACTTTTATAACCCATACAATATCACTGGTTGGCAGTCAACAAAATTATCCATTGGTTAAAAGTTTTTTAAATGCGTATTTACTTTAAAAGGGATTATCGCTGTTCGCTGATGATAGTCAGCCACACTTGGTCTTTTGTTTATAATAAGTTACCGAAATCCAAAGAAACTGGTTTCCGGTTGGAAATCTGTGCGTAGATCGTCTCCTCCGCAGTGCTTACTGTGGATTGTCTGGTCGAGTCACCGTTTGATCCTGAGCTGCTTGTCGAAGAATCAAGATCTAAGTCAGCGTACATTAAATTAGTTTCCGCTGTTTTGGAGCCTCCCGATTTTGTTCCACTGAAGCCATTGATGTCCAGGTTCCATTTGACTCGTTTAGATGTCTTCTTTGGCTGGACGCACAGTGTAGAGTCCGTTCCTTCTGCGTGGTTTGCTGCGGAGCTGGTAGGCCGCAGGGCCGGCCTCCTCTTGAAGCCGTTTCTCCTCCGCTTGTTAGACACCGCCTTCAGTGGAATCCCGGAGCTGGATAAGAACTGGTCCTCTTCCAGGTTCCGGGGCTGGCCCCGTCTAGGTTTATCCGGCACTGCGTACAGTGGGCAGGCTTCGGTAGTCACGATGGGCTGCATTTGGACCGTGGTGTCGGCTGTCTTGGTCGGAGAGCTTACGCCGAAGTACTCCTCGCTACTGCCGCCTCGAACCTTGTCGTACCGGAGGCTAGACGCCAACGGTTTCCTGCGCTTCTGCCTGCGGCGACGCACGCAGAAGATGCAAATGATGACAACGAGTGTGGCCAGGATTGCTGCAGAGACGGCAACAATTGGCGTAATGGGCAGCGTGATCCCAGTCGGTTCAGCAGTAATGGGACGCCGAGAGTTCCCTCTAGCTGACAGTGATGAGGTGGAGCTAGTAGCGAGAGTGGTGTTTGCAGGAGGTGAAATTGTCGTCTTATCATTATGTGCCCAGGAGGTACTGTTAAACTTCAAGCCAACGGTAGTGACTATGTTAGGGGGAATCACATTGACCATGGCAGTTGCACTGCCTGACAAGCCGCTGGGGGTGGAGACAAAGCAGGTGGCGGTGATGTTTTCTCGCACTGATGAGATTTCCACAGACTGGCTGGAAGGATTGAGACAGTAGCGGTTCGCAGGCAGTTCTCTCCGGGTCAGTGTGTCTCTGATCTCCCATCGGTACCTTGCGATGTTGGGCTCACCGAACCCTCGACAATCCAAGGATGCACGGGTTCCTTCTTCTGCTGTCAGCTGCGCCGGTGACACCTCTGCTGTCGGAAATATCTCCAGGGGTCTCACGGAGCAGGTTCTTGGCCCGCTCAGGACCGGGGACGTCATGGTGCAAGTGAAGTCCACTCCGTTATCCTTCGGCATCAACTGCCACTGAAGGGCCACGGGGGATGTCGTGCTGGCCAAGACCTCACCGGAGTCCCCTCTGTGATACGAGACCAAGGGTGGCGGGTTACCTGTTGAGGTACAGCGAAGGGTCACCCAGTCGCCGACCTGAGCTGCAGTTCTTCGACTCGAGTCCACACGGCATTCTGGTGACCCAGGGTCCGGTGGGATGTACACTGTCAAGGTAGAACTCGCCACCGACGTGGCCAGTCCTTCTGGAAACGCATGCTGGCAGATGTAAGTCCCACTGTCGGACTGCCGGAGATATTCTATCCTCAGATTAAACTGCTCTCGACTGGGATCGCCGAGGATCGTCAGTCGTGTCTCCAGCTCATCGGGGAGCCGCCTATATATGACTCTGTTTATGCTGAGATATCGGTGGGTCTCCTGGTGGTACCAGTGCACCCTCCTTTCCCCAACATTCCGCAAGTCGCAAGTGAGTACGACCGTGTCGCCCACGTTTGCGGCAACCTGCGCTTGTGGGCCTTCGTCGAGGCTCAGTGAAGCTGTGTACTGAAGGCTGATGGTCGCCAGTACAGCAGAGAGAGCGAGTGTGCCTGCTCCAGCGCTCGGCATGATTTCTGCGATTTCTTTGGTATGTATGTTGACTCTGAACTCCGTTGAGTCGTTGTGCACATCAGCCTTTATCAAAATGGGGAGAGACTTGACACGGGTCGCCTTATACACTAGCAGGCCTCGGTTGATTCAGTTTCCGGTATGACGACGGGCTACCGTGGCCCATTGCATGAATACACAGCCTAGGTCGGTTTCTGATCCATGACTCATACTAGTCCCTGGCCCTGAGCGTTCAAGTTCAACGTACCCGTGTCAAACGGCTTGATTCAGTGCGTCATTAACACACACTGTGGCCTTGGATGGTATACCCGGGATATACCCCCTTAGGACTAGTGTCAGGCGGTGAGGTGACGTCACTCGTTATTGGACTGTCATTCTCACATAAGAGTTTATTTAACACAATGAATTTGCCGTGGGTTATTGCCAATATACAGAACCCTTTAAAACCAGAAAGACCAACTCGAACCAATCATATTCTCTCAGGAATGGAGACGCGGTTCATGATTCACTGCATGCAGCTTCAGATAAGTATTGAACATGGTTGCCGCCTCCCAGTTAAAGTTGAGAGGTAAACGTTCAATACGTTCATCACCGCACATTTTCATGAACATCTTTTGAAAACAGACTGTACCCTTCCCTTTATTTTACTTCAACTGAAGCGGGTCTGTGTTCCATGCATAGAGCTCTATAAGAAACTAGGGTGCTGTGTTAACACAGGGTACAGAACAAAGCACGCGTGCGGCTACGCAATGGTAGGTAGGGCAGACCCCAACCTCGACTCCGTGGGCTGCGTGCGCGTTCCTTCACTAGCGTTAGATTGCGCAAGGCATGGTCGGAGCCAACATGGTGCGGCAAGATCGTACCCATGAGGACGAAGTTGGGCAGACCCGTGCGCGCGCGTATTTGCAAATACATGTACTGTACATGTACGAACCTCCGATGTGTCTCATTTTGGGATGCTCTGCTGAAACACCAAACTGTCTCATTAAAGGTCTGTTTATTTCACTCAGATCTGGAGGTTAATCAGTGATCAAAACGCTGGTTCACTCCATCCATCAGGCTGGTCTGGTGCCAAGGAACCATCGACGGATCACAGCCCAAGATTCATGCATAACAAAAAGGCTCTTGCGCAGATCCGAATCGCGATCAGTGATCCGACGTTGGTTCACTGACACTAGAACCCTCCTAATGGGTGGTGCGAACCAGCCTTGCGACCACTGATCCAATTTCAGATCCGTGTGAAGCAAACAGGCCCTCAGACCCGGATATCCCTGTGTGGAAGAAGCAGGCCCTTAATGTGGTCTTAAATTCACACGGATCTGGATCTCGATCAGTAATTCCAAGGTTGCCTCGCGCCATCTTTAAGGTAGGATCTGCTAGTGAACCAACGTCAGGCACTGATCTGGATCCTCGTGAAACAACAGGCCCAGCAGAGCTGTTTATCGAGTAGAGCCAACTTCAGACTATGAAACCAAAATGGCTGTTCATTATGTGTGCAGTCCTGCATGCAGCTATTGTGTACTAACTGCCCATGTGCACTGACGCATAATCCATCATTTTGATTCCAACAGTTTAGACGCTCATGTCGCAATTCTCTCTTTAAACAGTTTTGGGCCCCAGATGAGAACAGCGCCCTCAAGCATTTTTTATCACATACTTTATATAAAAAGTGTACTGATTGAGGCCACCGGCGGCCATGCCTTGCCGAATACACCATTACCATGCCGAATACACAGGTGATGGGTGGCTCTCATGCCACTGTACCATTGATGCTGCAAACGAATTTGGTTCGAAATGACGGCCAAGCCTTTGCATAAGCTTTTTATTCGGCACGGTAAGATGGCCACTGGTAGCTTCAATGGCCTCTATATAGAAATTAAGGGCATTGTCTGTGAGTCCATATTTTGTATGACGTCCGTGATTTTTTACAGCATCCGCTGGTCTTGGTGACAAGCATAATCACCGTGCATATCTTTTGTTTATCACGGACTTTTCACAATTAAGTTTCACAAATCAAACTGTTAATATGATCAAACTGCCAAAATGCGTTCTCTGTCAGCATTTATTCAAATCGAAACAAATTGGAGCAGTGTCAGCCTTGGCAATTAGTCAGACTCCATTTTGACGATTGCACTCTTACTTCCAGGAATCAGCGCAGCCGGGTGACTCACCGTCCTGTTGGCAAATGAAATAGAAGCAAATGACAGAACAGAATCGATCCCATAATCTCGCAGTTTACGAACCTTCAACGTTCCTCCGCCGTGATTTCGTCTTTTTAGCTTTTTGACGGGAAACCCCCATATTTTCCGGACGCTGAAAATTTAAAATGTACCGGAGGGCGCATCTTTAACACGAAATCGGTATCACTTTCTTGCGAATTTTCATTTTTAACTCTATAATTTAAACAACCATACTCTATGATGGTATTCTGCGTTTTTTTTCCCATTGCTATTTTACTTTCTCATATAGGACACACGCATTAACTGAAGCTTGTCACGATCGAGTGGGGACGATCTTTTGGTCCGTCTCCCTGGTCAGAAAGTTGGATGGATATTAACCCCCCCCCTTCTTGTTGCTCCTACGCAAACAAGTGTGNCTTCTTGATGTCAGCAAACTTGGAACAGCAGTCTTCGTGTACAAACGTTTATCGACAAAGCACTTCACCCGGACGTTTGACCTACTTTTCCACGCTGAACAGTGTTCACAGTCAAGCGCCCAATTTCACGGCGCTGCTGAGCACACGATTTCATATACCAGGCAAGATATGGGACGGAGGGGTACCCCCCTTACCCGTCCAATCCCTATACACACTCTAGACAATTGTTACCTAACACATCCCCCTAGAAGTGTGTAAAGAATTCCTGAGATACCGATCAAACAATGACCAACACAAAGGCGGGGGGGTTCTCTCCGTCCCATATCTTGCTTCAAATGCGATTTCACGCTAACAGAGGCTACACATAATTTAATGGAGACCGGAAGCAGGAAGCACAGCCAAGGGCGTGTTGACCTTGGAAGAAAAATTTGCTTAAACTTACTGACGTAATAAAAGAAATCTCTGTGCTCGCACAACCGTTCACAACTTCGCCAAGCACCGCCATGAAATAGTGCTTGAGATTAGCAAATATTTCTGCTAAAGTTAGCACGATTTTTCTGCTAAGTGTTTAGCAGCTCCGTGACATTGGGCCCTTATATCATGCCCCTTCTACCCACTTCCAAAACCAGAATGTGTACACCTTAAAAACGCCGCTTTGTACCGGTATTTAAAAAACCTTTTGTACCCACTTCTTTTTAACAACTTTGACCCACATGCTTAGATACCGGTACTAATTTTGAAGTGTGTTTGGGAACGTGTTTAAAAGCTAAACGCTTTTCCGTGTCGTTTTTAGCTTTGTGAAATCCGCTCAGCATTTTCAGAATTCTAAAATGTTTTTCAACGTAAACATATTGTAGGTGAAACTTCTTACAAAAAAAAATGGGCAGAAAAAGTGCTTAGAAATATGTTTTACGTTTGTGGCTTCATAGAATAAATCCACGTGAACCGTTTTCGCGGCGGTTAAAATTGCTTTTCAGGCTGGTTCTGTTTCTTGCCTCAGCTTAACTTAAATACCCATAAGGCGGTATTTAAATTAACATTGTTATTTTAGGCTCGAAGTCGTCCCTGCTCCTCATTGTCATTGCATTTATTTCTTGAATTTACCGTACTGTCACGGTAAACCACAAGCTTCCATCCGGTAATAACTGGATGTATATGAAATTCACAGGGAGAAGGGTTTCACCATTCGTCGAGTATGTCTTTAGCGCTGACTAATTGACGAGCGATCACTGTTGTTTTGGTACAGAAGACGTAGTGTCAATGCCTCATTAGTTGTCAAGACGTCGAGGAATTTTCTGAATGACTTCTTGGTATGCCGACCGAGGGTTAAGTCTCACGCCTGTTTCATACGGGCGTGTTATGGGGTCGTTGCAACCAAACATAAGTAAGAGCGACTTGCGTCGACACAATTAAATTTTGGTTAGCATGGAGGAATTAGCAGGCGAACTTAATACATGCATTTGCATTGGGTTCGGCCCACGAAAAGAGGATTTCTAAAACAAAGTCGCTCTGGTGTCGTTTCGAGCTCCTCCAAGTGTCGATCTTTCGCCTGCTGGCACGCCTCGGCGTTCCTAATTGTTTCAGACGTCGAACTTTTGGTTCGGCGCGACTCTAGAACGCCTGTCTGAAACGGGGTTATTAGTCACTCACAGAGGGATTGTCAGCATTCACTTGATACAGCTTATAGCAAACTCCTTTCTTAATACCATGCTCCCTGTCGACGATGGCAATACTGTTGTCCTCTGGAATATTCATCGACGTCTTGACAACACTATAGATAGACAATACAGGCGCATTGACACTGCTTCTTCACCAAACAATTACGGTGTAGTCCCCGCCAATCATCAGTCATCAGAGCCGAAGACATGACTCCAATCAGTCGTCAATCTCTATTACATTCACGTAAGTCCGAGTCTGGTTCTAAATCTGCTATTCAATATTAAATTGTTTTTACCATCATTTAATAATTATGATTTATCAACCACTGGCTTTTATCACTGGTTTTTGCACTTGTCCTTGTACTGTTTTTCATATAACTGTTACTGAGGAAAAAAATTGAGGAAAACGTCCAAATCCCCGTACAAAGTGAAGGGAGTTTGCCCCCTTGCCTAGACATGAATGCAATAAATGAAACAACCTCCGACCAAGAGAATGACTGGAAAAAAGTTTGGCCCAATTTATTCGCCTGGGCTGACGAGTGTATCATCTGGGCGGGTTATCATTTAGAGGATTACTGTCGAAATTTTGAAATACACATAACTATACATGTAATCTACCTTGGCGAAATATTAATCCGCGTGGGAGAATCAGTAATTTGCTCAGGCGAATTTGCGATGCCAAATTGTTATGTCTTGTCCTAAATACACTTCCGTAGGCATAGCCTGTACCGCTTTGGTGATTGTGATTGTACGTGTACTTCCCGTTTGACTAATCAGACTTTTTGTATGACTAATTTCTCAAATGTGTGCGTTCCAATTTACATGAATCATCCTGTATATTTAATCATTTGCCGTGAGGATGTAAATACTGCACGAGTATATCGTGATTACAAATCAGTCTAGTCCTCTCTGAAATTGATGACCAGCTATTATCAATTTGAATTGCATGATAAGCGACTGAACATTATTGGTTGGCTGATTTATTTTATCTG